GAAGCTCTTAGAATGGCAAGCAGGGTAAATAAGAAAAAATCTGCACCTAGCTGTATCATATTTAAATTGGAGAAAACCGTTGACAAAGAGGAAATCTTGAAAGAAGCCAAAGGAAAATAAATCATCTTACTCACAGAAGAGCAAGGTGGAGAATCAAAGTGGAATCGGAAGCCATGTGAGCAAAAAGTGAGTAGAGTGGGATATTCAATGTGATGAAAGAAGAAATCACTAACTTAGAATTCTATACCCAGCAAAATTATCCTTCAAAAGTGAAGAGGAAATCTTCTGAGACAAGCAAAATCTGAGGGACCTTTTCACCAGTAGACAGGACCTTCAAGAAATGTTAGAAAGAAGGAAAATTATGTAGGTCAGAAATACAAATCTACCTAAAGAAAGGAAGAGTGTCCAGAAGAAATACATGAAGGTAAAGTAAGATCTTTCTTTTTCTTGTTCCTTTTTTTTTTTTTTTTGAGGAAGATTAGACCTGAGCTGACACCCACTGCCAATCCTCCTCTTTTTGCTGAGGAAGACTGTCCCTGAGCTAACATCCATGCCCATCTTCCTTGACTATATATGTGGGATGCCTGCCACAGCATGGTTTGATAAGCGGTGTGTAGGTCTACACCCAGTATTGGAACCGGCAAACCCCAGGCCGCTGAAGTGGAGTGAGGGAACTTAACTGCTATGCCACTGGGCCAGCCCTCATGAAGATGTTTTGATGTGCGAGTTCTCATATACCTGGTACCCAGTTTCCCCTGTTCTTAACATATAGTAAGTTTGTAACAATTGATGATACATTATTGATAATTAAATATATTATCGCGAAATAAGTCCTAAGCTAATTAAAGTCTCTATTTAACTTCCTTAGTTTTTATCTAATGTCCTCTTTCTGTCCCAGAATCCCATCCAAGATACCATATTACATTTAGTTGTTATGTCTCCTTAGGCTCCTCTGGACTGTGACAGTTTCCCAAGACTTTCCTTTTCTTTCATGATCTTGACAATTTTGAGGACTACTGGTCAGGGAAGAACGTCCCTCAATTGGGATTTGTCCAATGCTTTTCTCATGACTGTATTGGGATTATGTGATTGGGGAAGGAAGACCGTTGAAGTGAAATTCCATTCTTGTCATATATTAAGAGCCCATCCTATCAACATACCTCCCCATGTTGATGTTGACCTTGGTCACCTGGTTGAGGTCATGTATGTCAGGCTTCTCCCCAGTAAAGTTCCTCTCTTTCTCCCTTTCTATACTGTCGTCTTTGGAAGGAAGGCACCATGCACTAGGTAATCTTTTCAGACTTATGGAGTAGGAAATTATGCCCCACTTCTTTGAGGGCATAGAATCTACATAAATTATTTAGAATTATTTTGCTGTCTCTTCTTCCCCATTTATTTACTTATTAAATCACTTATTTATGTCAGTATGGAGTCATATTTAATGATATTTATTTTAAAGTCTGGATGATAATCCAAAACTACTTAATTTTTTTTTTTTTGCTTAAATTAATCCGGCTTTGGTCATTAGGCACTCCTTCAGTTCACTCTTGTATCCCTTTGACCTGTACTCCTGCCACTTTTTGTCTGTTTGTTTTGAGTACTTTCTTATATTCTGACACTACAAGATGCTCTGAGTTTATCTTGTATATTTCATGCTCCAGTACCAGAATTAGCCATTTCTCCAAGGATCTTTGGCTCCTTTTATTTGAGAATCATATTAAATGCCAATATCTGGGTGCCAGGTGTGCTCATAGTTGGAGGGTCATTGCTTCCAGGCCATTTCAGACAATAGTGCAAGGAAGTATATATTTGTTTCATAACCTATATACACATCCAGATCTATAAATATTTGTATATGTAACCATCTATATCTATACTAAGCTAAACATGACTTCATATTGATGTCTCTAACTCTCATCCATCCCCACATGAATCATTCTACATTTCCTCTCTTTTCTGTAAACTCCCACTCCAATAGTCAGGAACCTGGCTTCCACCACCTACCATCCATTTACTCAGTAGTTCAATTCGAACATACATGTATAGCAGTGTCTGAATTGTTAAACGTCTCTTACACAGGACAGAACATTATCAATAGAGTGTAATATTGTGTACAGTTCTTTTGTCTTTAGACTTAGAGATGGCTCTCATTCCCAAAGTTAGTTGAGTCAGCCCTTTTCCCCCATCACCTTCAGTGAAGTTGCTTGTACATTTATAATACAGTTAGATTGTTTTGTCACATTCTCATTCCATCCTGGGGTAGCCCTGACTTCCTAACTTATTTCCCTTAATTTTCACAGTGAGACATAGTTCACTCTTTGTGCTGTAAATTTCTAAGAGTTTTAACAAAATCCATAGTATCATACAGGATAGTTTCACAGCCCTAACACATTCCCTGTTCTTCCACTCACCAAACCCTGGCAACCACTGATCTTTTTACTGTCTTGATAGTTTTTCCCTTTCCAGAATGCCACGGAACTGGAATCACACACTACGTAACTTTTCAGACTGGCTTCTTTCATGAATCGATATGAATTTAAGATTCATACACGTCTTTTTGTGGCATAATAGCTCATTTCTTTTTATCCCTAAATAATATTTCATTGTACGGATGAACCACAATTTCTTATCAGTCACTTATTGATGGACATCTTGGTTGATTCCAGTTTTTGGTGATTGTGAATAAATCTGCTATAAACATTTAGGTTAAGAGTTTGTGTGGACATAAGTTTTCAAATCAGTTAAATAAAATCTATGAACTGATGTTTGAGAAGGGTGCAAAAATTATTTACTAAAGAAAAGACAGCATTCTGAACAAATGCTGCTGAAGCAATTGGACATAGACAAAACAAAACCAGAAAACCTTGACCATCTCACAGGTTTTAGAAAAATTAACTCAAGATAGTTCATGGATTTAAATATAAATCTGAAACTATAAAACTTTTAGAAAAGAATATAGGAGAAAATCTTCAGCAGCTAGGGCTAAGCAAAAGTTCTTGAATCTAACTCAAAACTCATGATCCATAAAAAGAAAATAAATTGGATTCATATAAGTAAAAACAATTTCCCTGCAAAAGATCCTGTTAAGACTTCAAGAAGACAAGCTGTGGACTGGGAAAAAAAAATTTGGAAACCACATATCCAAGAAATGACTAACATGAGCACTATGTTAAAGATTCTCAAAACTTAAAGAGTTATAACAAAAAAACAATCCAATTATAAAAGGATCATGAGGCAGATATTTCACTGAAGGAGATGTAAAAATTGCCAATGAGCACATGGAAAGTTTTTCAACATTGTTAGCTTTCAGAGAAGTGCAAATTAAATTCCCAATGAGCTTTCAATACACACTTACCAAAATGGCAAAAATAAAAAGATAGTGATAATTACTTTTAGCCAATTCTGGCTAAAATGTGGATGAGCTGGATCACTCTTCCATTGTTGGTGGGAATGTGAAATGGTACAGCCACTCTGGAAAACAGTTTGGCATTCTCTTAAGAAAACTAAATTTGCAACTACCGTATGACCCAGAAATTTCACTCCTGGACATGTCTCTCAGTGTAATGAAAACTTCTACTTGCTCAAGAATCTATAAATGTAAATGTAATAGCTTTATTTGTAATAGCACCAAACTGGAAACAACCCAGATATCCTTCCGTAGGTGAATGGTTAAACAAACTGTGGTATATCTATATCATGGAATACTACTCAGCAATAAAAAGAAAAGAACTATTGATACATGCAACAACTTTGAAGAATAATCTCCAGGGAATTGAGTAAAAACCCAATCCCCGAAAGTTACAAACTGAATTATTCCATTTATACAACATTCCTAAAATGACAAAACTGTAAAAACAGAGAATAAATTAGTAGTACCTGAAGTTAAGGAGGAGGTTGGGGCTAGAAGGAGGAGAATGCGTCTCTAAGAGAGCAATATATGAGGTCTTTGTTGTGATAGAGATATCCTGTATCCGTGTCAGTATTGCATTATAGTTTTCCAAGATGCTGCTATTGGGGGAAATTGGGTAAAAGGTGTAGGAGATACCTCTGTATTATTTTTTTTACAATGGTATGTGACTCTACAATTGTCTCAAAACAGAAAAATGTCATCAAATGGGTCATTGATTCCAATAGGATTAAGTGCATTGTTCTTGAGAAATTAAGAGGGAGGTAAGGCAAGATTTATGACACAGCAGGGAACCAAGGCTGGGTTTTAAGCTTAGAGAATATGACAAGGAATCCTTACTTGATCTAGGTAACTTGACAGCTTAGAGTCAGAAGGTAATTTGGCAACTAGCTATTTCCTAGGAAAATAGTAGAAAGTCAATCTGGACCAGGATCCAGGTCACTGGAACTATTGACAATTATGGAGATATTATTTACAATTCCTCTTATGATCAGCAAATTTAATTCCAGAGGTTTGGATAATGAACAAATCCATAGGAAGTACTTTGCTGTCTCCAATCAAAGGCATGGAGTCAAGATGATTAATTTGGACAGGTGCATGACACGTCAAATTCCTTGATAAATAGATTACTTACCTATCCATTTATCATTATATAACTATCCTTGTAGATATATGTTCATTTTTTTACTATCCATTATCTATCTATCTATCTATCTATCTATCTATCTATCTATCTATCATCTATCTTTCTACCTCTCTCTTTCTCTCAACAGGTTGGTTAGGGCTGACAGCCTGAGGGCAAGCTACAGGTTTGTTGATTATAGTCTCTTCCAGTTCCTTTTTCAAGGAAATATCAGATGGATTTGGGGCAATTCCCTCACTAAAGCTTTACAAAAAAATAAAGCAGGAGGCAGGGTCCATCAAAGTTTACTACTCATGTTCCCTTCTAAGTGAAGAACTTGACAAATGGATAAAAGACAGTCACTTATTTTTATTGAAGTGTCTTCTTCCTGAAGAGGCCAGAGTAAAAGGAAGATGAAGCTGGATCGTTCCTGCTGCTCTGGGAAATCTAAGTCTTCAGTCTCAATCATTTTTATTTATTCTTCCAACACGGTTGGAGCGGCAGACAGCATTTCAAGGACTTCTGGCAGAGAGCAACAAGTTCTTCATTTTTCCGACAAGATTTCAAGCATCTCCCTCCAACATGGTAGCATTTCTCATCAAAAAATTCACTCCTGGCTATACAAGGGAAGGAGCCACCCAGATTAATTGTCTTCTCAGATATATCTAATTACCAGGTACAGTCATGTAACTAGTTAGTGGAGATTTCTTCATGAACTGTCACAGTGCCTTATCCTGCCAGTAGATGCGACAGCAGGGGAAATATTTTCTCTCTATTTTTCTGTCTTTTTATCATAGAGGATGAAAGACTAGGTAGAACAGATTTGACTTCCAGCATTTTGTATTAGGCTTTATGGGGGATTTGGGAAACAGAAGCTATTGTTCTTCTATCAAAATCTGTTGAGGTAATTACCAACTTCTTCCTGTAAACATCTCCAGAGTCAGTAACTTCCACACTGCACACTCAATGTGCTACTTGGTGAGAAAATAATAAGAACTGAGATTAGGGAGATGGCCCAAGACTGGAGTAACCAAGAATAGATGCGTAGAAAGAAAAAGGCGTACTGCAGTGGGTAGTAAAGAGATTGTTTAGAAAGGCTCAATCTGATTTCTCCTCCATGTTCCACTAAATGTATTCAAGAGCAGGAAGGGGGAGTGTATTGTGAGTCACTCTCCAAGTCTCATTCCACATAAAATACCAGGTTCTGGTCTTAGCACTTTATCAGTAGCAATCATAAGAGCAGCTGGCTTCAGGTCAAGGACAGACAGCATATCAGAATCAATATTTTAGAGTTGACTGCTTTGGGTATATGTAATGAAAGTGTCAGATGGACACAAACTGCAATTAATGTCAGCATATAAAGGTGCCTAATTCGTATATATGTAAAACCAAAACCAGATGGATTAGTGCCAGTACGTGCGCTAATTATATCTAGCATCAGTGTGTAAGTTCATTAGTGTAAATACCCCAATATTTCAGAGCTCAATGAACTGTGGCTCCCACTGCAGGGGTCTATACTCTCTCGGCCCTCCTAATATTGTAAGACTATCTCAGGCTGGAGGTACTGGATCTCACTCTGAAGAGTCCTTCTGTTGGATCCATTTCACAGGGATGGCCCAAAAAGAGAAACCTCTGAAAAGATAAAGACCATTATGCCTACAAGGCTTCTAATGGATCATTACAGAGACCCATCCAGAGCTTAATGTAACTCGTGTGTCTGTGTGTGTGTGTACATATGGCACATTAATAGGTTTATATTAATAAGCACATTTCATTTGGTTGTGTTAGATAGATTTATATTATATAACTTTGCAGTTTGTTCTAATTATATAACAAGTATGAGTGAGTGATCTGAGAAGGATAACTTGGTCAGCTTCCAATCTGCACATCAAAGCCAGTGGAATGAATGACTCCTCACAAGCCCTAGATTCCCATATACTTGGCACAGTATCTACTCACACAGTCTTATTGCAAAACAGACCAGAGACATGCAGAGCTAGCATGAAAATTCTGACCATCACACAGGGGGTATAACTAGCATCTGGCACAAATTTGGGCTCCTTGTGGATTATAGAAAGTCCTTTCTTCAGCTTCCTGGGATCTGGGATGAGTCTAGTCTCAGACTTTAATTTTGGAGAAGATCCAACTGAAGCCATTAGAGGTTCCCAGGAGCAGGAGAGAGTGACAAGAGTTCTGATATGGGAAGAACACCTCCCCTCACTGTGACAAGACAGATTTGGACTCCATTCATGCCTCACTCCTGCTTCTCTGTATGACCTTGAGAAGCTACTTAGCCCAACTGAAGGGGCGAATTTCTGCATCTTTAAAATATATATAAAGGGACGCCCAAACCAAAAGAGTTGCTTTGAATATCACTAAATTAGAGATAGGACTCAGTGCTTTCTAGGCATTGGCATTGGAAAACTAAAGGCATTTCATTATATGGAGTATTTGTAGCATCATACAGCATTATAATATGGGATTAAGGAATGGCAGCTTAAGTTCTCCTATTTTATGTAATTCCATGACCGGCATGAATACACAATGTCTGTAAGCTTCATTCCTTTTGTGGTCCCTTTCTTCCTTTCTCTTTCTCTCTTCCTTACCTGTCTTAATTTCTATCACATCTATTTGTTAAAAGATAAACTACCCTTGCTTTTTTTTTTTTAGTTTTTGAAACTCTTTTTTTTACTATTTTTTAAATTTATTTACGCATGTACTTCATAATATATTTCAAATTCTGTGTAGATTACATCATGTTCACCATCCGAAAACTATAATTAGTTTTCAGGTACTCTTGCTTTTAATTCTTTCTCCATTTCTTTTTTTCTTTCATGAGCATGAGACTGGGGACCAAAAGGCATCTTTTCTGGCATATCTTAATTCTTTAAATCTGTGACACCCCATCCTAGATAATAATGAAAAATGCAAAGGCTTTACAGAACAGGCATTAGAGGAAAGTTGCCTGCTGCAGCAAATGTTTCCCTGCAGGGATACTGGCCAAGGGAACCTTTCCTTTCTAGAGTTGATCACATCCAGGTGCTCACTGAGGCAGACCCTCTCTCTGGGCCACCACCTCCACTAACCTTCCCTGCAAAGGAGTTCATTTTACCTGGACCCAGAAAGAAGAGAACAGCAAAGAGAAAGAGGAACGTCCTCATGACTTGCAGGGTCTTGAGAGATCAGCACAGAATCCATGAGAAAACAACAGCAAACACCCAAATTTATACATTTCTCCAGACCGAATAGCATCTTGATCAGTGAGGCATATCAGAAATGAAGATGTCTCTGTGCTCTGCTGAGTAGAGCCCACACACCTCAGTGGGTGTCACTCACTTTACAGCTCATCATTTTTCTGATACTGGGAAGTTCCCAAGAAGGGAAATGGAGATGAAGGGAGGATAGCCTAGGGTGTACATTGATGACCAAGAGTAGACACATGAGCCACAAGCAGGAAAGGTTTGGAATCTGGTGATTTGGATTCATAATCCTGACCATGCTCCTTAACTCAGTTTACTCAGGCTACTCTAACAGCATACACAAGAACACAGAACCGTCAATAGAGGGAGAGAGGGCCCAGACTTTTGGCGTAGTGGGTAAGTTTGCGAGCTCTGCTTCAGCAGTCTATGTTTCACGGGATCAGATCCCGGGCACAGACCTACACACCACTCATCAAGCCACGCTGTGGCAGGTGCCTCACACATAAAGTAAAGAAAGATGAGCACAGATGTTAGCTCAGGGCCACTTTTCCTCACAAAAAGAGGAAGACTGGTGGTTGATGTTAGCTCCCGGCTAATCATCCTCAAAAACAGAAATAGAGGCAGAGAGAAAGCACGAGTAAGACAGAGAGAAAGGCAAAGTTGGATGAGTGAGATTGGAAAAAATACAGATGTGAGGGGGTGGCAATAGAAAGAGACAGACCACTCAAGAGAGACTGAAATGAAAAATACTCGGGTACACATTAAGGTTTTTCTTTGCTGACCAAATGGATATGATTTGCAATGAATCTGCAGGCGGATGTCTGGAGCTGCCATGTCTCCTAGGGGAGAGGCACATGTCAAAAGAGCCCATGAAGTAATACCTGTAATGGAAACTTCTGTGAACTGAGTAAAGCAGCCCGTGACACGGAGCGCCATGGTCAAGGAGAACATCAAAGTCTGGAGAGCCTGCAAGAATCAAACGGACAGAGGCAAATCTCAGCCCTTTGGAAAGCAGTGTGCCCACTCTATGCATCTCAGGGTCTGTCCTGTTCAGTGAGCCATGATGTTCATAACAACATGAACATGACAGGCAGGTAGTCCCAAAATAGTTAATTCCAGGAGAATTAAATTCCAGGCCTTTATTAAAATTATTTTTCTAAAATATATACTGTGTTTAAAAACATTTAGAAATTTTGTTGATTTTCCCTATTTTTTTATTTTTTACTTTTGAGGACAATTAGCCCTGAGCTAACATCTGCTGCCAACCCTCCTCTTTTTGCTGAGGAAGATTGGCCCTGAGCTAACATACATGCCCGCCTTCCTCTATTTTATATGTGGTATGCCTGTCACTGCATGGCTTGCTAAGCAGTGCATAGGTCCGCACCCAGAAGCCGACCTAGCAAACCCCAGGCCCCAAAACTGGAATGTGTGAACTTAACCGCTGTGCCACTGGGCTGGCCCCTTTCCCCCAGTTTTTATAGCTTGTCATCAGGTTCACTAATCCCGTAGCTGGGTGTGCAGCTCTGAGCAAGTGTTGCCGGTTATGAGTCTGGCACGTACCCAGGATGCTAAAGCTGAGATCTGATACCAGATTAGTGTTTCTTAAAACCTGCCTGTCCTGTGAATGCTCCAAACAAAACACAAATATACCCTCCACACTAGAGAAACTTTACATCATAATATAAAAATAAGTTGGTCGGCTGTATTTCACCCATAGGTTTCCAATTCATGATTCTGGTTTAGATGAAGAGTCGGTTTGACTCAATTCAAAAACTATGAAGATTTAGACCTGTAATAACTTGGAAACTCATGATTCTTGTCCCTTTTGCAAGCAGAGAGAAAATGGAGGGCCAAGAATGGGTCAGTAACCAACCTAAATTCTCAGAGTAAATCTATCAAAACGCTGGGACCAGAACACAGGTCTCCAAATCTCTTGTAGAGTATTGTTTGTATTACACCTCACTATAGTAGTTACTCACTGGTGCAAAACAAATGACCCCAAAACTTAGTGGGCAAAACCAACAAACATTGATTATCTCCCAGAGTCTGTGGCGGGTAGAAGCTATGTTTGGCTTGACTGGAGCTTCAGGATAAAGGCATTCATGTAATTGCAGTCGCCCTGTCAACCAGGGCTGCAGTTTCATCTGAAAGTTTAACAGGGAAGAATCTACTTCTCTAAGCTCACTCATGAGGTTGTTGGCAAGAGTCGGTTCCTTGCAGGCCATTAGATTAAGGTTCTCAGTTCCTCGCTGGCTGTTGGCTAAAAGTCTCCCTCAGTTCTCTGCAACCTGGGCCTCTCTATAGGGCAGCTCAAAGCATGGCAACTGGCTTCCCTCAGAGTCAGCAAGTGAGTGTGTAAGAGGGCACCCAAAATTAAACATACGTTATTTTTATATGTTAATCTCAAAATTGGCATCCATCACTTCTGCCACATCCTGTTTGTTAGAAATAAGTCAATGAGTCCATTTCCACAAGCAGAAGGAGGGGATTACATAAGAGTGTGAATACTAGTAGGCAGGGGTCATCAGAGACCATCTTAGAGGCACCTACACACTCACCATCTTACGAATGTCTGCCAGGGGTCAGTAGCCATGGCCCACTGGTTAAATCCAGCTGCTCCCTGTTTTTGTAAATAAAGTTCTTTTGGAACAAAGCCATGCCCATTGTTGACATATCGTTTATGACTGCTTTGGTGCTACACCTGCAGAGCTGAGTAGTTGCAACAGAAACTGTTATGACCAGTGAAGCCTAAGAATGTCTATTATCTAGCCCTTTACAGAGAAGGTTTTCTGGTTTCTGATGTACGCAACCATAAATTATTTGTAAAACTATGAGAGAGGAGATTGAGATAGAGATGCCAAGTTCATCATTTCATTGAATTTCTTTTGGTGCTCTGGCATCATAAATGTCATGGTGGGCACTTCCAAAAGGCAGTTATCTGAGAATTCTCAAAACTGTAGCAGCTCTGTGGTCAGGTTTGAGCGGGTGAGGTATGGCTTCAATTCCCTTTAGTCATTTCCTATACACTTTCCACCACATAGTGTCATTAACCTTGCCATTGGGAAACTCACTCTCAAAGCCTTTAACAAAAAGATGGTGTAACACATAGTTATATTGACTTCAAGCAGCAAAGTGGACATTAACATAATCTGTGAGCCTGATGGAGCTAGACTCCAAACTTGAATTTTCCCAGGTTATTTCATTTCTCTTAGCTTCAATTTCCTTAGCCTTAAAATCCAGATTATAAGACTGATCTGATAACTTTTTGTCACAAAAATGCATTAAAGCACCAAATACAGTGCTGGGTACCACAATACAGCTTGGTGCATGTCAGTCATCATGTGTGAAACATTTGATGGCTTCCTGTTACCAGTTAGATTGTTCCAGAAAGGAGCCTGTTTAAAGACATCATATCTTCATCCTGGCTCTCTCTCCAGAGCTTGTCTCCCTTCAGATCCTACTGGGTATTATCACCTTAATTTTATCTCCTCACTAATGGCACCAACATTTTCGCTGTCCCCTGACTGAACACTGACAGTCTTCCTCTCCTGCATTCTCACACTCTTAATTCCTTCTCTCACGCTCAATGATATCAACATTTGATACTACCTTCTAAGTGGCTCTAGCTCTTAAGTCTGTCTGCGTCTTTATCCCCTTGTAGCTGAGAATGTAACAGGCCTTAATCTCTTAGTACAACTCTTCCTCTCCAAGCCTTGAACCTCATAATCCTGTAATCCATCCTCCATATTATATTCACTATGAATTTTCTGCTAAAATGTAAATATGTTCAGATTGTTCTCCCACTGTAAATACTTTGTTGACGTTGCATTACCTGCTGTGTTTCCTTTCTATTTCCTAAGCCTTCTGGGATTATTTCTCCATTATTATATTTGTTCCTCAATTTCCCAGTTTTAAAATATCTCCAATTGTTCAAAGGATGAAAGCAATATAGGACTTGAGCATCTATTTTCTCACTAACACAAAGACACAAATGTATTGACACTATCCATTAAATGTCATAAGAAATGTTCATAAACTGTGATAGTATATGACATTCACTATGGTGTTTGGCAGTAACCTCAGGGGTGATACAAAATATACTCTGCACAAATGCAGAATCAGGAGCAATCACTTTCAACCAGAGTGTTCAGGACCATGAGGAGTTCATACTTGGGCTGGGCTTTGCAGATTGTGCAAACCATTGTGTAGAAAGAAGCGGCTGGATGCAGGGAGTAACTGCATTTGAGCAATTAAAAAAAGAGAAGAATCAGAAAGAATCTAGATTCCAGTTTACATTACCAAGCAATTAGAAAGTGAAGGTGATATTTACAAAAAACTGAAGGCTTGATTACAAGCTGAGGTGAGGGTAAGGTGCTAAATATTATCAAGATGATAGCAATTTTAAAATAGATGCAAAGATCAGTCAGGAAAGTTGGAAAAGTAGCCCAGGTTAGTGATGAAGATGGAAATCATCTGCATAGAGGCATAGATAACCCACATCTCAAGGATTATATGCAGCAATAAGAGGACCAGGAGTAAGAATTTAGTATATAATTAAGACCATGGGGTATGTATCTAGCCTCTCTAAGTCTTGATTTCCTCATTTGTGAAGTGCAAGTAATTGTATCATCCTTATTGAGTTATGCATGATTCAAATGAAGTAAATGCATATAAACTGCTTATACAATTTATATTTACGCAATTTTAAATTGCTTTCAGTGTCTGGAACATGGTATGCACTCAACTAATGTCAGCTGTCATGATGATGATCATCATCATTATTATCATTGTTAAGACAATGTAAAATTCTTGAAGATATTCCCTTTTAGGGGCTTAGGGGAAAGGAGAAGGATGAAAAAATCCAAGATGAATCAAAGGGAATAAATATGAGGCTAGGAGGACAAAATCAAAAGTGTATATATTTGATACTACATGTTACCATGTCGGTGTCTGTGTCTTTT